GCCAATTGGCTCTCAGCGCTGCTTCCGCCGCTTCCGCCGCCGGCGCCGCGTCTGCCTGGCATTGCCTGGTCTTCCTTCTGCCTGCGCCCAGCGCTCCCTGTCAATCAATCTCCAGGGCCTTCCTCCCTGTCAATCAATCTCCAGGACCTCCTCCCTGTCAATCAATCTCCAGGGCCTCCTCCCTGTCAGTCAATCTCCAGGGCCTCCTCCTGTCAGTCAATCTCCAGGGCCTCCTCCTGTCAATCAGTCAATCTCCAGGGCCTCCTCCCTGTCAATCTTCGGGCTCTTCTGCTCTTTTACCCTCTGAGCTCCGTCCTCCACTTAGGCCTCAGTCCCGCAGCCAGGCAGTACGCTGTCCTTTAAGAGCAACTTCTAGCCGGGATGGCTGGTCCGGGTGAAGGAGAAATCGGGGAAGGGATGGGCCCTTAGCTGCCAGCCTGGAACCAGGACTGTCTCATTCTAACCGCCTTTAAATGGAGGCCCCCAAGGCGAGGTGGGCTCGCCCAGCAGCTGGTGAGCCAGCAGGGCCTCAGCACAGGTCTCCTGGCCTGGACTTGCACTTTCCACTCGAACAGGCGGATAGAGAAGGTGTTCAGTTCCTTTGCAAACTTCCTATTTTTCCATTGCCCTTCCTCTCTCTGATTGCACCCATTTGCTTTTCTTCTCTATGCTTTTTTTTTTTCCAAATAGGCTATTTTGGAGAGCAGTTTTAGGGTCACGCCAAAATTTAGAGTCAGGGACAGAGATCTCCTACATGCTCTCTACCCCACCCGTACATAGCCTCCCTCATGACCAGTATCCCCCACCAGACTGGTACATGTGTCCAGCGGAAGACCCTACGTTAACACATTGTTATCACCCAAGGCCATGGGTTACCTTAGGGTTCACGCTTCGTGTTGTGGAGTTTATGAGCTGGTACAAATGTGTAATGAATGACATGCCCACCATTCGAGTCTACAGAGTCGTTTCACTGCCCTAAGAAGGTGTGTGCCTCCTAGTCCTCCCTTCCTCTCCCCTGGCCCCTGGCAACCTCTGATCTTTTCATTGTCTTCATAGTGTTGACTTTTTCAGGATGACTTCCTTCACTTAGTAATAGTCATATGCATGTAAGTTTCCTTCATGCCTTTCCATGACCTGTCAGCTCAGGAACTTGTTGTCATGCTGGAAAGTGGTGTAAAATAATAATAAAAGCGTGATTTCAACATCAAATAAGTCACGAAGCATGTCCATTAATGATCCATATCCAACCTCAGGCTCCCACAGACTCCCAGCCTGAATCAGAAGCCCTAATTCTACCATGACCACCTGACAGGACTTGATGCTGTAGTTGGGTTTTCCTCAAAGTTATATTCTTCATCCACTGGCAAAGCTTTTTTTTTTTTTAAGAAAGGTTTGACAAGATCTTTTAAAAATGAACAGTGGGCAGAGAACCAATTAAGAATACTGAGCAGGCCCAGCTGGCATGGCTCAGTGGTTGAGCATCTACCTATAAACCAGGAGGTCATGGTTCAATTCCCAGTCAGGGCACATGCCCGGGTTGTGGGCTCGATCCCCAGTGTGGGGCATGAAGGAGACAGCCAATTAATGAATCTCTCTCATCATTGATGTTTCTATCTCTCTCTCCCTCCCCCTTCCTCTCTGAAATCAGTAAAAACATATTAAAAAAAAAATGTTGAGCAGAGTTGTGGCCAAGTTTGGACAAAGAAAGCCAGCCATTCCTTGCACCCTCAGCCATTTGTTCCCAGAGAAGGGACTGGGTGGGGTTGCTCAGACCAGTTTTACTGACATTTATGAAGAAGAGACAAACATCAGAAACCAAGCCCCACAAAAGCAGAAGCTGGTGCTCAGAGGAGCAGCCCAGCCCGCCCTCCCCCCACAGGATAGAACTTGGGCCAAATACCTACTTCCTTCCCCACTAACTAGCAGTTCTCAGAAAGGAAATGGAAACCAAGTGCTTTCTCATTTACCAAAACCAAAGGCCTCCTTGAGACACAAGGTGGTGTGGGCAGTGTAGGAGCCCCTCGGCCCGGGCCAGGTCACTCCTCGGGGTGTGGCTAATAAAAAGAGAACGGGGTGTCCCGGAGAACAGCTTGTCACTCAGATACACTTCCCTAAAATCACCATTCAGGGAAATAGAGAAATCCATCCCTCGTCTCAGCCGGTTAGGTCAGAATGATGACATTGCTGATTCCTTACTACGTTCACAAGACGGCCTGCTTCCTTCTAAGTCTTGCTCTGCAGGCCTCCTCCTGTTCACAGCCCAAACGTAAGCTTATTCTGAGATGATGAGCGGCTTATGCTCAGAATCACAACATCGCTGCTTCATGTAAAGAACAGAATGCTGAGTGAGACCCGCTCCAGCGCCGGAGGGCACCCACTAGGCTCCTGGCACCCAAGGTTCCAGTTTGGAGTTCTCATGGGCGAAGGTCTGCCTGTACATGTGTCCTGCTTAGCACACACTCCCCAAGCTCACTCCCAGGTTCTGATTTCTGGGATCACAAAGTTCATTTTCACTTTCTTTGCACTACCCACCCATTTAAAACTATTACATCAATAAAACAAGTACTGTTTGATACCAGACATCTTGTATGGCGATATGGCGAAACTAAGAATAAAAAAATTAACACGAACTACAGTGTTCTCACGTTATAAAGATATGTAGTCCACTTTTAGCACAACTGGCAAGGTAAAAAAAAAAAAGTCTTTTGTTGTGGCGTGCCAGCACAGCCAAGGGTTGGGTAAGCCTGAGGGGGGGCGGCGAAGGATTAAAGAAAAGACAGACAAAGAGAATATAGCTGGGGCTCGGTGTGTCTCCTGTGCCTGGATGAGGCCACAGAGAAGGATCCAGCCAGCAAGCTGAGGCTTTATTTTATAGTCAGAGAAAAACAAGGTAGTGGTCAACATAGTTATAATGTCCTTGTGAGTTTCACTTGTTTCGGCAGCACTTGCTGCACTTCCCACAGAGCTGCTTCCTACATTTTGTAATTTTCTTTAAAAATATTTAACCAAAAGATTCATAAATAATGTTTAGTAATATTTGCAACAAAAGCCGCACAAGCCATCCCTATAATGATAAATACTATCTGATATCCAGTGTCTAGGTTAGAAGAGTTTTTTTATACTATTTTCTTGTTTTCCACGTACCTGTGCATACCCTGGAATAGCATCTTCTTTATATTCACTTGGGAAATCCTTCATTGAGATACATTTCTAGAAGTGGAATTACTGAGTATGTGCTTAGGACTTCTTATATATATTATAAAATTACATTTCGGGAATTTTTAAGAGCTTTACACTCCGTTTGTCCTTTGTATACTTATTAAATTAATTTATTCAACCAACATTTATTGAACAACTACTATGTGCCAGCACTGGGACTGCATCAGTACAAAAGAAGACAAACAAAAATCCCTGACTTCATAGAGCTTACATTCTAATGTGAGCAGACAGACAATAGACAAATAAGTAAAACTATATAGTATAGTAGAGGGTGATGTGTACTAAGCTGAAAAATGAAGGAAAGTAAGGGCTAGAGATTCATCAGGAATGGCTGCAGAGCGGGGGCCGGAAGGTGGTGGAGTGCAGATACAAAGGAAGGGAGGGAGCCACTGACAAGGCCCAAGCTCCTGGCCCTGCCTGGGAACAGTAGGAAGGCTGCTGTGACTAACGCAGTGAGCAAGGCGTGCAGGAGGTGAGGACCAGAGGGGGACATACCATAGAGGAGGTCTTTGGCTTCTACGCTGAGACGGAACCTGTTGGAATGTTTTCAGCAAAGACCTGAGTTGCTGATCTGACTCACCAGGTTCCCTCTGACTGCTGGGTGGAGAATAAAGGGTCAAGGGTGGAGGCAGGAAAACCCACCCGTTAGGTGGTTCTTTGATTAGGCCTGCACCAGGGTGGTAGCAGTGAGGGTGGTGGAATGGGATCAGCATGTGGATCGATGCTGAAGACAGAGCCAATAGATTCTCCATCTGGTTGGAAGTGGAGTAAGAGAAAATGAGATGAGTCAAATACGACTTCTC